CCTCATGAGGAACAAGTTTTCCTTATTTAAGGAGAGTTTCCATTTTTTAAGCTTCGGTTCATTGCCTCTTGTCCCATCGGTATCTAGCTCCAAGAACAATCTAGCTTTGTCTTCTCTGTAGCCTACTATGAGGTACATAAAGACTTTTAAGACCCCCTTCTAGCCTTTTCTTTGCAAGACTGAACCAGTGCAGCTCCCTCTGCTTTTCCTTGTGCATCGTAGGCTCCAGCTTCAGACCATCTTAGCATTCATTCACTGGAATTGCTTCAGTTTGTCAGTGTCTGTCTTGTACTGGAGAACCCCAAACTGAACACCAGTACTCCAGGTGTGGTCTCACAAGTGCCAAATAGAGGGAAATAATCTCTTCCCTTGAGCTGCTAGCTGCACAGGTACTAATGTAGTCAGTATGCAGTTGGCTTTCATTGCTGTGAGGACACACTGCTGACTCATGTAGCTTGTCCACCAGGACCATGGAGTCCTTTTCTGCAGACCCAGCCAGTCAGTCCCCAGTACCAGGTCACGGGGGTTATTTTGTACCAGGTTCATGACTTTGCATTTGTGTTTATTGAACTTCGTAATGTTCCCATCAGCCCATTTCTTCTGCCTGTGTGTCTGTGGGGAAGTGGCATGTGAGAGTGGAGTGGGTACAGCTCTATTCATATGGCAAAACTCTTCATGTAGACAAGACCCTCTGCACTGACCAGAGCAGATGTTGAACTTGGTCAAATGCTTTCATCTCTAGCTTGAACTGCACGGCAATATTCTTGAGGTCCTTGCTGTAAACTTATAAATGCCTCAGGATCAAAGGGTAAAAAATTTTTTCCCATATCTTTTTCAAGGAATGATCAAGGTACTGTAAGAGAATCAGTATTTCAAGCATTCCTTCCAGTGCTGTTCTGTGTGGTCAGTCAATCACATGGACTCCTGGGAACTCATTCTAGGTTCGCTGGCTCATGCGGATTTCACTAAGCGTCTTCATGTTTCTTAATTAGCTTAATAAATTAATCAGAAGTTGCGGTACAGAGCAAAATCCAAGCTGAATGGCAAGATTTTGAGCAATGGGATGAGGCTGGATTTGCTTTTAACAAAACTTCTTGGTCCTTGAGTTGCCCATGTATGTAACTGAGAGATTAGCATTTGTCACAGCTTGTGTCTCAAGCTGTGTATACATATAAGCTCCGTAGGCACTTGTTGATGTTACTGACCATCGCTGTAGATGGAGGAAGCTGAGGCAGAAAGCAAACGGTGCCTGCCTGTGGCCACAGAGGAGTTGTGGGTCAGAGCACTGCACACAGTTCTCTCCTGGTCCTGCTTATTACACATCACTCAGGTAATTTCTGTCTTTATCATCAGATCTGGCAGTGCTGCAGAGCTGCCTGCTCGCTAAATCTCGTTGTATCAACACTTAAAACAAGTGATTAAAGAAAGATTAATGTCATAGATGTAGTGTGGTTAGAGACTGTGGCCAGAAAATCAGTGAAGTATAGAAATTATTTATATAATTTCCATGCATGCTTGCTCTCTTTGTTTAATTTGTGTTCTGCTCTCAAAGCCCTAGAAATACTGTAGACAGTCCAGGTTTCCTTACCTGGATGTTTACTTTATTCAACTCCCTGATGGATATATATTGGATGTCCTTAGCAGTGGAAAATACAGTTGAAAGCTCTCTTTCTCAGCTGAATAAAACAGTACGACAAATACCAGTGACCTGATACAGTCTTTGAATAAAGCTGTAGCCAATTTCTATTTAAAACACTCGGAGGAGTCATTATTTTACTCACAGGCCACTTCTAAAGTTGGGCACATGCTGTGTTGTGCTATTTTACGATGTATAAAGACGTCTTTGCACTCCTCTGGCTTTTCCTTTAGCCTTTTCTGCCTTGATTACTTCCATACGAGGAGGGTGTTTTGCAGTCATCTATGCAGCAGTCTGAGAGGGCAGCCAGTCCGGGAATGCATCTTTGTGACACCTCCGTCACCAGCGCCAATGCTTGTTCCACTGTCTGATGATTTCTGGCAAATTATTGGATCTGGATCAAAATTAACTTGCAAAGACTCGAGAAATGACATTTTTGGATCTGGTCTGTCCCATCAAGTGACTGCATGAGTGTTGGAGCCAATGCAAAGGAAAGAGAAGACTATGGGAGCAAAAGGCAGCCTTTTAGAGGCAGTCTGTTTAGATTGGCTTAAATTCATCTGACCCCAGCAAAGTGATGGGTTCGTGAAAGTCAGAAACAGGAAAACTTGACAGTCAAGAGGGAAGAAAGGTTAGTGTCAACCTGCGTCTGGATAACTTATCTATTTTCAACAGATAAACTCTCTGCAACATGTGGTTTTAATAATGAAGATAGAGCTGAACATCAATGCTACATGACATTTGAAGCTATGGCAAGTTTCAATGGTCTTGAAACTTTGGGTGATAAATAAAAACCCTAAAAATCAGAGATTATGGCAGAACCAGAAGAAAATGTCTAGCCTTTATTTTCATTGTAGAAAGTGCAAAATATCTGATAGCCATCCATAACTAATTCCTTATCAGCCCACTTTGCATAGGAGAGCAGTAGCTGGTACAGATTTTGGTCACTTGTCTCTCATTAGGTGCTGTTGGTCAGATCAGAGTGCTATGGCTGCTAAAATGGGCAGAGCATAACATTTTAGCAATCCTAAATTCCTGGTGGGGACTACCTCGATGGAAGGGGCGTGTGACTGATTTTGTGCCTGAAAATCGTGCACGACTTCCCATGGTATTACATCCCCTCAGATCCTTCCTGAATCCCATTTCCAAAAATCTCTCCCATTGCTTGTAGATATGTTCAGGACTTCACTGTTAGAAAGACTGTCCTTTTCAAAATGTAAAATTTTATCATCTAGTTCAGCTATATCATAGGCAGTATAGAAGTGGAGGAGAAGCCTGTAATTTCGTGATTCTGATCAAAGCTGAAACACCGAGTTCACAGCATTGTTTGCTGGGGTTTTTTATTTCACCAACTTGTACAGATCTGAGCACTCTTACTGCTAATGTGCAAGAACAGTGATCCTCGGGAATTAGCATCTGAATGAGCATGTGCAAATGAGCTGCCCTGGTCTCTGGTAGAAATGGTTCTTGAGGGAGTTATGCCTTTTGACTTGAAAGCAAATATACTAATATCTGAGCAGACGCTGGGAAATAAATTACAATATTTGGTTTGTCCGTGTGACCTTTTTTGTGCCATGGTTCTTCTTGAACATCGTTATTCAATATAATAATACTCAAGGATATAATTGGAATAATATATTACAGGGGAACAGCAATGATTATAGTACTTAAATCTTTCATTCTTTTATGAAGTCACCCTTTTAAAAAAAAAAATATGCTGTTCACTGAGTGGTAAAAAGAGTTGGAAGTCTTGCGAGGAATGCAAAGAAATAAAACCTGGCACGGTGAAAGACTTTCAGTACAAAATGAATGTTGATCCTTTAAAATCACAAATCATCTTTCTATTAATTCACTGTAGAATAAGGTCTCCTCAAGATAAGACTGAGCAGTGCTGTGGAGTTGGTATTTAAAGTATGTCCATCTGCATCTAAACGAGTAGCTCCAAGACAATCAGATTATGCAGTAGTTACTTTGGTGAGAATATCGCCTAAGTGGAATGGAAACTTCATTTTGAGTCTAATATTAGACCCTGCTTTGGAAAATTCCTTTTAAATGATCACAAGCTGGGAATAGCAAAAGAATTTAACTTTCGACAGACAGCATTCACCAAGAATTTGTTTTTAACTGCTTATGTTGGGTCCCTGGGAAAGCAGATGTGAAAAACTTACCAAAGTGAATTGACTTGACCTGATGCAATGTTTATATCAGTAGTTGATAAGTTTTCCTCCCTCGTCTAATTTGTTCGGGATATTTTCATTCTTTAAGCATGAGTAAGTCTGGGTTGGAATAGTTTGAATGCTTGTTAGTCTAATAATCTGAATCTTAAACCATGCAGACATTATTGCCTATAAAGGGGTCTAAGCAAAGTTGAACTACTTTGGTTGTCTTCCACGGATGGGGATAAGTATCGTTTTTGAGACTCACAAAGAAGAATGCGAGACAATGTTGCTTACCTTCTGAGAGTTCAGAAAGCATATTGATACCTGCTGTATTTATCCTTCAAAATGCCGCTTGTATTTGGCGAACCCTTTGAATGCATAAAAAGCAGCGTTCAGCTTTACAAAGGACCAGCTTTCAGTGGCAGCTAGGGAAACTGGCAGCCAAGGATATCAAAGGTGATTTGAAGGGTCATGATATTATTATTATTATTACTACTACTACTACTACTAGCAGAAAGAGCTTTAGGAATTATAGAATATATTGTGAATGATGCAAAGTTCAGGAATTTTTAGAGCCACTAGTATATCTTATCTTAGCTTTTCTCTTTGTTGATCAGACACTGACACTTTCAATATTTTAATTAATTCCTAAATAAACCCCCTTCCTCGGAACAGAGTATGTCTAAATAAATTATTTTTGAGGGAGGGAGGAGAAAAAAAGAAACTCATGGGTTGGACTGACGACTTCTCCCCAGCTCGACCCTGTCCGTGTGGGTTGGCCATTGTTGCTGTTGTTTCCAAGCTTGAGGAGAACGTCTATGGGAGCTTTCTGCAAAGGAGGGCTTCAGCCTGGCCTTCCTCTGCCAATGCATGGGACAAGAAGTGGAACAACCATCAACAAGATAATATAATGAATTCAATTTCAGGTTCACAGTTTCACCGGGAAAAACATTAGAAAGAGAACACTGATCTCTTTAGCCATTCTCCTTTAGTGCGTTAGGTGGATTTATGTGACCCCGGAATGTGTTTCTCAGAAATCAGAGTCTGATTTTAAACAGCTGTTAAACTTTGCCTTTTTTTTTCATGAAGCCTGACACCAACCTTTTGGTCTTTTTATTTATACCTGTTTGTCTATAATTCTACTATATTTTCTGATCTTTCAGGAATTTCTAAAATGTCTAAATTGCCGATCTGTCTCCTTGCAGGCAAGTCTCACCTGGCTATAGTACAAAGAGTAAACAATGAAGGAGAAGGGGATCCTTTTTATGAAGTCCTGGGAATTGTCACTTTAGAAGATGTGATTGAAGAGATCATCAAGTCTGAAATTCTGGATGAAACAGATCTATACAGTGAGTAAAAATATTTGCACTTTGTTTGTAGATGAGATGGAAGACTCTGTCCAGCAGCAGTTGTGTTTAATAGCTATGTTTTGAGAGATATTAAGTTGCTGATTTAAAATCTCAGCGGTCAAATGACCTGCAGATCCCTCACATGGTCAAAGTAATTTTTGGTTTTGCAGCATAGGCACCTCACCCCTTTATGCTCTGTTAATTCAGAAACAGGACAGATTTCTGTATTAGACCCTTTCATTGAGAAAGTTTACATCTACAACAATCTGGTGTCTCCTGCTAGCTGTTCTCCACCACAGTGGCTTGTTAAACCTTTTTGTTACAGCGCTCGCGACCTCCCGCATTTTCCCCTAACCTCTCTCCTCCCCAAGGGCCTGTAGTCCGTGTACTCCCATACTTTAGCAAGAAGGCAGGCAAATACTATGCCTCGGGGAAGAGGAATGGAGCCTCTTTAGAGTCTCTCTCTGTCACTTGTTCCGAAAACCTGAGAATGGAAAGTCGTCTTCAGGGCTGAAAACCAGCATGTTCTAAATGACTCCTCTTTTTGTCACTCAGTACAGCTCCTTCCTTCTTCTGTGTTAACATATGTTGAGGGAGATGATGCTGCAGGTCAACGAGTACCTGGGGCTTGAGAGATCTGGACTCTTTTCTTTCCCAGTTTAGAGTTTTTCTGTTCTTTGGCCATTTACCTAAAGTGTCTTTGCTTTTCTTCCCATCTGCACAATCTGGCCTGTGCATACGGGACTTCCTTTCTGTCATTCTTCATCTGTCTTATCAGTGCTTTAATCACTTGTTGGCAGATGCTGTTTTTTACTATCTGTTTGCGTGTAGCACAAGGATGTCTCTAGATTCTATTGCAACAGAAATAATAATATTAAATATCTTAAACACTTTTCAGCTGTCCTTTGCTTTCTTTTTCTTTCCTCATGAGAGGGATCTGAATGTTTCTACAGCATCTTTTTCAGGCCAATGCAAGCATCTTTTATCCTCCCTCCAAGGCAAATGCCAAATGAGCACATTACACTGTGGGATAGACATATTTCTACTTTTCCTAATACGTTGTTATTGCCTGAACTACTTTCTGTAGCTGGTCAGTATTTTACCAGTATTTATGTGCCCAAAGGTTCATGTAAATCACAGTTGTGTTTTACGATATGCTAAACAGTTGAATTACTATGCAAATCACAGAAGTCCAGTTAGTATCGATTTCTTTTCATACCTTCACAAATGAATTGTTGGGCTAATCAGTTACAATGTAATGCTTTTACAGGATGAATTCAGACTTTCTTTTATGCTCCAGAAAGATCCTATCTTTGTCTCATCATCTTTGAGATATTTCTGTGTTTTTACGAGTGAAAAGACATTGCATATGCTTTTCAATGTTTTTTTTTCCCTTGTTTGTTAGGAGAATCCACATAGATCATGCTGTGTTGTTCTTCAGGACAAAAAAAGCTTTGACCATTAATAGCATGTTAGAGGGCAAGGAAACGAGAATTTAATTTTGCTATCTGAAGACTTCTTAGATTAACTAAATAGAGCTGGTAAACATGAATTTGTTTGAAACTCTTCCTCCTGGGAAGATTTTACTGTTGAAAATTCCTAGTTCAGAACAGGAGGAAAACGTCACTTCCCATGCTTCCTGGAGAATGCAGGAAATTTTGGGGGGTGACTCCTGCTATGTACTTCTAGATGAACTTCTAGTTTCCTTATGAAGCACTGGAGTCCGTTCCACTGTTTAGATTGACGGAAACTAGCAGCAAGGGAGACAGCAGAAATCCAGAGAAGCTGTGAGGACCACAGAAAATGTGATAGGTTTTGTATCTGGGCAGATTGATGTGCCGTAACCACTTCCAATTGGCGTAGTGATGGGAACATGCTTTGAGTTTACTGGAGGTACCTTATTGTCCATGATATTTTAAGGAAGCTCATTTTTAATGTCAGTATCAGTTTGTCAATGCTAGTAACCCCGTCTAGTACTAGAGTTCACTGATGCTTTTCATTATAAGACCAATTTGGCTTGCTCAGCTCAGACCAAGCCAACTTGAAACCTTTGGACTGATTTGCTTTATGCTAGGTGTTTACTTAAAAGTAGACCTTATGAAAAATTTTGGTAGTCTTGTTACGCCTTTGTTCTGAAGCTTTAAAAATGTTTTGTTTTGCTTTGATGGAAACTTGAAATTTGGTGTTGGAGCTGTGCATTTCTGCAGTTTCCATGAAAATCCATTTGAACTGTGTTAGGGTAGAAGCAATTGTATATTTACAGTTTTTGCTGAAAGCTGCTCTCACTGCTGAAGCTCTGCAGCTGAATTTCTTGAGGGTTGTATGCCCAATAAACGTGCGGTATTTCTTCAGATTGCCATCTTATGGCTTGCAAAGATGTTGGGAGCAAGGAGAAGAAGATGGGAGCAGGAAATATTGTTAAATATGTCTGAGCTATAAACATCTGGATAGACTGAGTACTTCTGAGCATGAGACTTTTTATTGGGGATGCTGGTGGGGTGAATAGAAGAGGTTTCTGTCATGACACAGGTAGGCTCTGACTATGTCTCAGTCAGCATCACAATGAAGAGCTGTCAGTGCGTTTGCTTCTTAGCATGCAAAGTTGGAGCATTTTTTCATGGTTGATGCACTACCGGAATCTGTCAGGCACTCCCATGGCCCTCGCCATGGTGGGAGAGCATTTCTCAACCTTCTCGGAGGCCCAAGAGAGAAAGCTGCATGTTCTGCGTTGGCCTCAAACCGCAGAGTCTGCTTGAGCAACATGGAGTTCACTGTTCTGACCCGGGTTTGACTGGTGGCCTGTCTTATTTAGCTCTTTCTAATTGAAGATGAGTTTAATCATCCCCTTAGAGCAACTGGAATGCTGGTGGTTTTCACGCACACAGATTCAGAGGGGGTTTACCCCACGTAAAATCTGGTATTTTTCTACAAACAAAATACCTTAACACACCCTTGTGTGTGTGTTCTGCATGTTGTGGATAAATAGTGTTGTCGTAAGCATCAACTTCCATTGCATTTTTACGT